TGAGAGTGCTATTGATAGCGTCTGCTGTCATGGGTCTGTCTCAGTGACAGACTGAGGCTGCTGTTGTCTTCTTCTCTGATCAAAACAGTGTCCCCTTGCGGATACTCAATGAATTGCACCTGATTAAAAATATTAATTCTGTGTCTTTAATGCATTTTTTTCACTTTTACATTATCCTGCGGGCCTGATTGAACCTACTTGCGGGCCGGTTCCGGCCCGCGGACCGTATGTTTGACACCCCTGCTTTACATAATCATCTCGCGGGCCGGATTAAACTCCTTTGCGGGCCGGATCCGGCCCGCGGGCCGTATGTTTGACACCCCTGGTCTAGACCCTGAATGGAAGACGACCCGTCTTATTTCAATGCAAAAAAACACCGTCTTGTATATGGGCCAATATGGTACTAAACTCAATTTATGATCAAACACACAACCGTTCAGAGTTACTAGGAGAGTGAGCCCGATGCTGCTTCACCAAGATGTTGTCTCATCACACGTAAGCAGCCTGTTTCAGTCCGCATCCATTTCCATGAATTTAAGGCACGTACAACACTTTTAATGGTTGTTGTTGGGCAAAAGATATGCATTTGCACTAGGGCTGAATGAATTTGGAGAATAATATTTTGTTGTTCTACTTCTTCCTTTCATAACTTTGCTGCTGTGAATTGGGAATTTCTCCATTGCGAGACTAATAAAGGTTTTCTTATCTTATCTTAATCCGATTGTGGGTTTTTTTTTCCCCCTGCCTGTTTTTTTTCTAAGAAACTAAAGCAATCAATGAAGACACACACTATGACTTGCAATCACTGCAGCACAAAATTCTACCAAACAAGTGTGGTGTAAACTAAGTCAGTAAGTCATAAGTGAAATTACAACAATAATGCAAATAAATTAGTGGCTTTATCACGTCAACTTTTTATAAACCAGTGTTTAAGATTGAATGACTGTCTATGTCTTATGTGTTGTGTTGTACTATTTTGTTATTATGTTATTATGGCTTCAAGATGGCGCCGCGAGAGTGGCTGCCTTTGCATCAGCTCCTATGTGGCTTTGTTGTTCAGTTTCGATAAAACTGCTCCTTCCGAGTCCAAATCCATGCTGACACTTTTAATGAATGCATGTTGGCCTGTTCTGTTTCTGTGACATCACGAGCGAACGTCCACTGACCTTCAACGCAGCGACAGCCGGACTGGAGAACCCAGGCGTACATGTCGGTCTTGGAGTGCGACAGCAGCTGGTCTCCGGTCAGGTACGTGTTGTGAGAGGAGGCGATGAAATAGTTGCACAGGGGTTGATCCATGTCCTGGTTCACGTCGTGGTGCAGCGGGTTGAAAATATCGCACGTTGGACTACGCATGAAGCTTGTAAAACCTGGAAGGAGACAAAGAACAAATGAAGACATACTGCACAGTTCTGATAAAACTGCCATTTTAGCAACATCCTTAAAAATACTGTACGGTACTTTGAAAGAGGATATACTGTAATTTGGATAAAGGTGCTTCGACGACAGCATGCTTTTCATCGTTATTTCAAATAATACAGCAATTCTAGTCTTGTTTGGAGAGTTTTCCTTTGAATATTAAAACATTTTCTCACAGCTTATGATTTTTGAAAAAAAGAAAAAAAAGGTATTACGACTTCAGTTATTTCCCGTAAAAATTTTGAATTTCGCGTGGTTAAAATGTTTCTTAGAATTTACACTATATAATACAATAATAATAATAATAATAATAATAATTTCTGTTCTTTTTGTAATTTCAAAACTAGCTTGTAAAAGTAAAAAGTAAATGTCTGTAATATTTCCAACAAATTTAAAAAAATGTTACCTTTTTTTTTTAATATGATATTATTCTCATAAGATTTGGAGTTCATTTTTCTTATAGTACTTGGATTTTTTTTCCTCAGAGGATTAAATCTCAGTTTATATAAAAGTATTTTTAAAATCTCATATGTACAATTTAACATTTGTTAATCATATTAGGGCTTGAAGATTGTTATTATAAATAATTTTGGTCATTTCAAAATGTAATTATCACACCAATATTCTTTTTCTCAATATTAATGCTGAAAAAATAATTTTTCCAGACTATGAAAAAATGTAAACCTCATAATTTATTTATTTTAATCTCAATGTATCGCAATCTAAGGTGTATATCAATCCGCGGGCCGCTGGTTGGTGACCGCTACAGTAACAGTCACTTCATGTCATGCAACAGTCACATGATCACATGACATCAGTAAGTTGATCATCCAGCATTATTAAAAAAAAAAAAAAAAAAAACATCACTGAAGGGGCAAGTTTTTAACGGTAACGGATGAGGAATCACAAGGCTGGGAAGTAAGATTCCATTTATCCATAGAGGGAAGAGGACGGAATGAGACAAGGGAGGGTGTCTCGCTGTGGAAACACAGTTATGCGAGTGGACATCCATCTTGTCACGCTTCTATCAAATTCTTGAAAATATTCGCCGTCTATGTGAGAAAAAGGTTATTTCTGTCACAAAGGAGCATGTTGCAGGCCCGCAGGCTTTAGGCCAGCGTCACAGTGTGATCCTCCCACGACGGCAACAATGACATTAGTCTCGCTCCTACACCTCCTCGCGTCAGCCTCGCGTTCGCTGCCGCGCACTGACTTCCCAATTTTCTCACGCCTCCTCGCTCTGTCGCCTGCCTTAAGTCGAGTCTTCAGCCGGCACTGATCATGACACTGAGGGAGAGTGAGTGCTCGCTAAAAAACAAATTATTTATGGGCAAACGTATTGGCACAACGGCGACATGAAACAACTGAAAGGGATCGGGGAAGAAAAGTCTGCTTGGTAATTCACTTTGAAGGTATTTGATTGGGTTTTCTCCGGGTACTCCGGTTTCCTCAAATCAAGATGCACTCATTTTTATGCCGAGCGGATGGGCGCTGTCTATAAAAATGGAGCCATTTTTCAAGCAGTGTCCGGATACATTATTATTAATGCATAAACATAACACTATACCCAACACAGCAAGGCTCACCTTCAATCCCCATGACACCATGTTGTTTGTTCTCGTCGGACACCTCAAACTTGTCAATGATTTCAGCCACATATTCTGGAGTTATGTTGACCATCTGTAGAGACAAAACAAAAGCTGTAATATTTTGGATGGTATCATTTTATTAACATTTCGTTCAGTGCATGTAGATTTGAAAAGAAATTGAAAAGGTCTAATATGGAGAGAGTGAGTAAAATGGCAGGAAGTGAGTGCTGCTAATTTGGTTAGCAACAGGTTTCAACTAGCTCAACTCTTTGTCCACATGCGAAGAATTGCATCTATGAACTGAAATAATTACACTTCCTTCCAAGCAACTCATTTAGAACATGCAGTAATGTTTAAATTCATCTGAGAGTTCATAAGAGCCTCTCAGTCTCTGATTGTGAACAAGAGCGTCTGACATGCGGTCAGGGTAGGTAAGTAAGGCAGTCCCGCCGCCCCCTGCTGGCCATTCTGTTCAACTGAAGTCATTAGTAGTGGTAAAATAGTCATTCACAGTTACCGTGCACAGAACTCGTTTACAACATGCCGTAACATTTCAATTCAATGATAACTGTTTACGTAAATCGATAAGTGCTGCTACTTTGGTTAGCAACATCAACAAGCTAATGTTTTGCTTTTGAACAACATCATCTATGAATAGAAATGAAGAGTCGCATGTTTAGATACACTGCAGTTGCACCTCAACTTACAAGGGACACCCGATTTAGTAGTTCTTTGAGATGAAAGTTGCCACATTGCCTATTTCGTGAATTGTGAGCAAAATAAATTTGAGGTACTAGCACTAGATGATGCCAGCAAACTTCACAAAAAGCAGCAGATCAAAGAACATTTCATGTACTTGCTACAAGCTGCTTATTGCCACTCCCAGGACATGTTTGGACATAAAACCGAGTGGCCAGTCCACTAGCTTAAAGCGAAGACATAAGACAAAATGCCGTAGACTGACTTACGAAGCCAACATCTATGGTGTGTTCGTTTAGTTTCAGTCAAATTTTTAGTTTACCTGTGAAGGCTACAGTGCTTTTTACGTTCAACTTGAAATTCGACTTGAAGGCCAAGCAAGCCGAACTGAACTTTGTGTGAGTAATCTCTGTCAATCAAACAGCATGTTGGAGAGGCAGTACCACAAATCCCAACATCCCGTAAGCCCCACACCCGTACCTTCTGCTCGCAGCGCAGCATGTTGGCCAGATCGTCGGCCGTCAGGTGGTCCTTCCTGTCGCTGTAGGCCATCATCAGCAGGAAGAGATCCCGCCGCATGGACATCATCTTGTAGAAGACGGCAAACTCATCATACGTAAGCGTACCCTGCTGATCATCTGTGTCTGCTTCCTGGAGAAAAAAAGGCTCCGGGGGGGGGGGGGGGGGGGGGATACTCAGGTCAGCCAGTCAGACGCTCCATAAATGCTGCAAGGCATGACATATTGATGACCGCACTTCATTTTTCACCGTGTGAGCAAAGCACACTTCTGACAGCACTCAAGATGCATTAAGATCATAAACCTCGACGAAGATGGTAAGGATTCTAATACGGGTATGGGTTACACATCAACAGCGTCTTGTTTTTGTTTGCTTATGTGTTTGTTTGACAGCAAAACACACAAATCAGCAACAGCACCATATTTTCTATAAAGCTTTTTTTTTTGGGTGTTAGAATTTTAGGTTTCAGGTCAAACTTCAACATCTCAGTGTGGTCAAAGTGGAAAATAACCAAAACAAGTGATTTTGGGGGTAACTTGTTTCCGATTGTCAGCAAGCTTGGTTGACCTGTAGCACCGATAACTGATAGCTCCTCTGCTGTTGTGTTTTTGATGGTGATTAACCTTTATGTTAAGGAGAGTCAAAAGTGGATTTGCAACAAACCACAAGGGATCGTCAATCCAATTAAGGCCTTGGTGAGTGCTTCCCAGCTTTCATTTGCCGTGTTGCTTGCTAAAGGTCTTCTTTTCTTTTGTCAAATAACTCAACCCGTAAGGTGTGGTCTCTTTTTCTTTGGTCCTTGTATGAACAAATAGGTGATGTGCAACTGAGTCTAAAACTTGAATTAAAAGAGAATTTTCATTTTTGTGCGGACAAGTGTTTCTGCCTTTCATCTTTTTCACTCCAGCTGTACGAACCTGAAATGTTACATTTTGTCAGACAAAACAAGCCAATTGAACATGGTTTTTGTATCTTGGAATCAATCATGTCGTCTATGTGTGACCTTAAAAAAATGTAAGAACATTTTTAAAATCTATTTGACACAACACCATTCTGTAAATTACGTGAACATCCGCGATTTCTGGTGACGTGATTAGATCAAGACAGCTCCAGTCATAAATTAAAAATGTACACTTTTTGCTGAAGAGGGTCACCAATTCTCATCGCTCACTCAACTTTCTAATGAACTAAAACCATCTGATAATCAGATTATTTGCCGTCTGAGCTTTTAACAGATCCAAACTTCAAGGTAATGGTCCACGGTCAAGGTCAAAGAAGTGAAAAAAAAAAGTACATGAATTAAAAAAAAAAACAAAAAAACTTTAATCTGCTCCAATTTTAATCTTGATTATCCACCAATAACATCCAAAATTGCAACAAATCGCACAGCCACACATCAAATAAAATCCTAGAGGATTTTCCTGATCCCGTACATATCTCACTATTTTACTGTACAGTACTTTCCTCACACAGTGGATGGCATACTAACCACTATCTTCATTGCTTGAAAAGCTCACCAATCTCACACATTTACTCAACTCAGAAATCAACTCAAAACACACGACTTTCACCAAATGTGTTCTTTGGATCCTGAGCTTTTAAAAGGTCAAGTCTTAAAGGCTACGGTCTATGATTAAGGCTTGCAGCAAGGCCAGACATGTCAAGCAACCGAAACCTCATTTTGCTGCGATTTTTATCTGATTAGCCACAAGCTCCATGGTCAAAAAGGTATTTGGAACAAACCACATTGACTAACATATCAAATCAAAGGACTTGAGAAACGCTTTCCAGTAATGTCATTACATTTGCAATGAGCCACCATATGAGAACGTAATCACCCAAAAACGTTTTCAGTAGAAAATCAGTTTGTATGCCCGAGGATCTATAAAATAGCTTGCAGAATTTTGGGGCCCCAACTCTCCGTTTGGGAAACCCTCCTGTATCTGATAAGAAATCAATGATGCTATTTTTACATTCCGCCCTGATGACATCATCATTTCACCTATTGCACCACAAAGAATGCCCTTTTTCTGTGTTTGATGGCTATTTGAGTCCAACTTTCCATTCATATCATCACACATGTTGCCTGAGGACACGCTCAGCACGCCTCGCTGCTCGTTCCAGTCCAGCACCTCGCACCGACAGCTGATCGCCACCGCCTCATATCACCTGGATCTCACAGGGACCCATTCCCACTGATGCCCAATCTAATAATGGCGACTAATCCCGCCATCGGACAACAACCCTGAATGAGAGAATCCTCATGCAAACTCCCTGATGGCCGTCGACGCAAATGTTTAGGCTTTCTGCATGCCATACTTACCGAGCTTTATCTGAAAATAGATCCACAGGGTTGTTTGTTGCACAAAGCACATCAAGTATCGCAAAAGCGCGGTTACATAAGTAGCTTTTTATCTGGCTTCCGTGATATAAAAATCATTTTGCGAGGATATAAATGGAAGCGCGCTCATTCTCGTCATTTCTGGGCACTCAATTCTTTTTAGGGATCTTCTTTTTTTTTTTTCCCTGGCAAGAAGCGAGGCTTTTAAATCACCAGGCGAAAGTGAAGACACAAATCATTGAAGACTGTCAAAACCCCCCCCCCCCCCGAAAAAAATCGAGGACTGAAAGTGCAACGATCTGTTAGCTGTTCTTCTTTCGTTCCTAATAAAGTGAGACAGTGATGGTCATTAGCACTGCACCGCAGCACTGCGTGACCCTCCTCAGAAACATCACTCATGTCCCGTGTGGAGCTTTGACATGAGCCCAGTGTGACTTCTCCGTTAAAAATTAAGGCTCTTCTCATAGTTTTACCCTTTTTCCCCCCGCCCCCATCACCTAAAACTTTTTCATCGGACCTCGTACCATATAACTGCTCATGCATGTTGAAAAAGCCAGTACTGTTAAATAAAAGAAAAATATGAGCATATTGATATAGAAGTGTCATTATTTTTTTATGATGGTACAGAGTCAGAACATTTCATTTGGTACACCGGCAGCTCTGACTCCTACAGTGGTTCCTAATCAGTGTGCTGCAGGAAATTATATAATTCCACCTCAATGGTCCCAAATTATTTGTTGACAACAAATCATGTGTCTTTGTTCATCTGTCTATGCCTGTGACAGACTAAACAATTCAATACTTTACCACTAGATGGCAGAAAATACAACCTGTGTATCCACTTGTTGCCATTCATATCGATGAATAGATTCAATCATATTTCTTATTATTGTGAAGTACAAGCTCAGGGCAGCATACTGAGAGCTGTTTCTAATATTTTGCCACATCATAAGTAAATAATAATAATCATAATAACAAAGCTTTCTGATCGTGTCAATCAAGCTCAAAGTGTTTATTCACTCATTGGATTTTATTATGCATGCAGGGATGCCTACTTCGGTACAACTCAACCCAAAATAAAACTAGTGCTCAGTTGAGGGTACCTGATGAAGTGTGTACTAAATATATACCCGGATAACATCATGCACCCAGTAGTTCACGTTTTTCATTTGATTTTTCTTCCCGCACCTGGAACATTTGTTTGACCTTCCTCCGTGGGAGATTGACGTTGAGCTTGTGGAGGAGTTGGTAGATCTCATCGATGTTCAGCAGGCCGTCGCCGTTTTTATCGGCTTCCTCAAATGTTTGCTTCATCCACGTCACCACATCACACGTTAAGGATATTTGTCTGAAGTAAGGTTGACGCATCACTCGATTTGAGCTGTTTGGGGAAGGGGGGGGTGAAAAAAACCCACACTGCCTTGAACATATCAGTCAAAAAAAAAAAAAACACAAACAGTGTAGGAGAGTGTACGTCTCCTGTATTTACCTCCACACCAATAAGGAAGTATTTTACTCAAGAGAAGAGCGTTTGGAACGCAGAATGGAAATTGTGGAACATAATACAGTAGCATATACGCGCTAAATGTAATGTCACCATGCTGCAATGATGGCAAATCCAGGCAACCAACAGTGGTTTACGCCATAGTGTCAGCGCGGGACACTTTGAACACCAACTGATGAGCTAATACAAAATAAACAGCATCTCAGAGTACCTGGTTTTGTAAATGAAAAAGCACCAATATTGAGTATAGCTTAGCTATGTCAAGACTAGTCGTACTATGCAGTGTAAAAGAAGCATTTTGGAGACACAGGGCACAAAGAGTCTCAGATAAATTTATCACATTATAAATGAATTCCCTGCACAATAATTGAGGTTGAGGCTTTTATACACTATGAAAATATGAATTACCAAACCCCTTTAAAGTCCATTGCTAACCAAATTAGCAGCGCCGGTCAGATGATTTTAAGTGTGGCAATGGACAGCGAGTTGTAAGCAGGTTCCCTAACAAGTAACTCGGGACTCGCCGGTGCCAGCCGAGTGGTCGTGCCCCTGGCCAAGCACCCTGCGTGAATGACCAAGGCAGCAAGCTGTTAGCAAGTAGCCGCTAACGGCAGCGAGTGATGCCTGATGAGAACGGCTGCTGAAAGTTAGCGTGTCCGCTATTAGTTAGCTCGAAAAGCGCCCTGACCCATGTGTAGCTTGTCAGTGTTGAATAATTACCAACTCTGTCTGGTTTTGTCCGCATATAAGGAAGTAAAGGCTGTAGACGTTACATTCAAGCGACTTTGGACACATGACTTGTGCTTTCAAGCGCTCAAAGATTTTTTATATCTAATTCATTGCATGAGTTTCCATCATTAATTGCAATGACGTAATCACATGTTTCTATTTGATACGAATTTACCAAGGGACCAATTCTCAAAGCTTCTGGCTCACAGGTTTAGTTCTGCCCACAAGCACCACACTCCGCCAGTGTTGACTTTCGAAGTAGCGTGGCGGTAACTTGAGCAGGCTATTTTGCTCTGAGATGATACGCCAAAGACGCACAAACCAATATGGAATTTGAATTTGGTTTCGCAAAATGGAAATGATAAGGGGTACAGGATGGCGCTGGGATGGATGGCATTGTATGCCATGATTTGCATGTGAAAAGGATATTGGTCGTGGGTGCGCTGCCGTTTGGCCAAAGAGTCCTCGTCGCTGATGCCGGCCATCAGGTATCGGAGGCCCGTGACCCAGGTCCGAGCTTCATCCGAGTTGGACGTAACCAGATCCAGGGACTCCATGTGGTTGCCATGGTAGACGGTGAAGCAGCACGCCGGGTCCAAGCTGCCCTCGGGATGCCGATGGAAGATGTCTGACTGGCCGCCCTCTGTCACTTTGTACAGTGAGTCGATGGTGACTGACGGGGATGGAAAATTAGAAGTTTACTCCAAAGTACCTCAAGATGCTCCACCCATCGAATACGGAATGAAACTCACTAGGTCTCAAATGTCTTTTGAAACTAGATCCAAGAACATTTTCATGTCAACTAGAAACAAGGAGCAGAAGACTGTGTGTGCACGTGTCGCTGCTGTGAATTGATTCTAAAAAGATTAATTCATAAAAAATCTATACTGAACACAGTGAGCAATTGAATTACATTACATTGAAGTTCGGGGTGTAACTACTTAATCGTGTATTGATGTGTTTGACGGTGCGGAAGAGATTTTCAAAACAAAGCAATGCATTCATTTGCGTAGATAGATACACTTTGGATTTTGCAAGAAAGGAGATTGTCTTGCCGTGTTTAGCCTTTGCAAATGCCGAGTGAAATGTAACGGGGTCATGACAATTTGTCGACCCATCTCGACCAGTGCGATGCAATATAAATGGCAACAAACGTGTGAAGAATCAAGAGCGGCTGTTGCCGTGCAAGGAAGTCTGAGAGGCCAAAAAGGTGTTTTTTTTTTTTTTTTTATCCTCGTGCGCAAAGTATGACATTTTTGTTACCCCCCCTAATTATCGTGAATTACATGAATAATCACCATTCGTGTAACTCTACCCTGCACTAGGCCTAAATATTAAGAAAAAAAAACCTCAAATTTAAATGCAGTCAAGCCTTTTTAGTTATTTATTTTTACTTTTGCGCCATATTGGATGCACTCAATACAGCAACCCTGATAGAGCAACTTGATTTGATTTTGAGGCAAAATGTTTTTGTCACTATACATTGTTGGAATGATCCATTTCCCTCCCCTTGAATAATCTCATCTCTTAAATTCCATCTTGTCTGACAGGAAAAATATGGTCGCATCGTTTGACATCCCACACATATACATTTTTGGAAAGGATGGGGCACACGTGTATTTCACAATTGTGGCTCGTGAGCATACTTAAGAGGCTTATCTCATGCTGACAGTGGCAAACAGTCATTTTTAAACATGTTTGTACACATCTATAGGCGTCTCAGTGGGTTGATGCTGAAAAAACTGAATAATCCTCTCAGTGGCAGCAGCGGTAAACATCACACACACACACACACACACACACACACACAACTTTCAGCCATTTAAGGTGAAATAGGAGGATGACATAAATCTCTCCGTTTCATGACATTTGACTTTTGTTGTTGGGGTATTAATTCTATCGTGTTTTGAGAAAATTGTACGCAACACCGCAGTTAAAGACCTGTTTGTGGTAGTTGCTGAATGCTAAATATCACCATTAAGAGAAAATAGTAACACCTAAATGTGTTTATTTGATAATTGATCTTTTAGTTTTTGTATTATTTTCATTTTATTTCTTCTCTTTTATTCATGGTTCCATTTTTGTTATATCATTTGCGCCGGTGTTATTTCTTATTTGGATTTTTTAACCCCGCCCCCCTTTAGAAAATGATAAACCTCTATTATGACTTGTCAATGCATGCGTACCAAATGAAGTGGCCGTTGTCTTCAGCGTGTGTGTGCTGTTGTGCCACGTGCGTGGGCGTTTGTTCGAGCGTGCGTGCAAACGTACTCTTGGCCTTCTCGCTCTTGCGTGATGGCTTCCAGCGGATGCAGGAGCGATGCTCATCCAGGTAAAAGAGTCTCACCAGCCCTTTGGATCCCGCCTTGAGCTTCACCATCTGTGTCCCCGACTGCATTACGCTCATGCATCGCTCCACTGAGAAGAAACACACGCGCACGCACACAAACACACACACACATACATATATTAATATATATAGATATAGATATATATAGATATATATATATATAAAGAAAGAAAGAAAGAAAAAAAGAACATCATTAGAGTGTGACTGCATGTAAGACACAAAAGGAGCAGGTGTGTGTTCTTTATTTATCTTTGTAATTTGTTTCACTGGATGTGGGCAAGGTCAGAGTGTAAAGCGCACACAGAGATGCTGCTGTTTGCGAACACAAGGCTATCTATCCGCTGAGAGAGAGAAAGCCCTAAAAGCAGCTCAAAGAGCAGAGACACTAAGTCATTGATGCACAGGAAGAACATCTCAGCCTCGCCGGGAAGGAGGATGCAAAAGTCTCAGCTTCATTCAACACATTGGAAGGAGCCAACGTCCTTTAGGTACACCTGCGCATCCAACACACAATTCTGTGGAGGATGTTACTCTATTATGACCAAAACAGAAACTCTGAAACGTCACAGGGATCTAAAGCACCCTGTTATACTCTTAAGGTATGCACTGGTGCACAATCAAATCAAAAGAAATCACAGCGGCAAGTCAAAACACATCATTTCCCACAGAAAAAACAACATGAATAATCACCATTCGTGTAACTCTACCCTGCACTAGGCCTAAATATTAAGAAAAAAAAACCTCAAATTTAAATGCAGTCAAGCCTTTTTAGTTATTTATTTTTACTTTTGCGCCATATTGGATGCACTCAATACAGCAACCCTGATAGAGCAACTTGATTTGATTTTGAGGCAAAATGTTTTTGTCACTATACATTGTTGGAATGATCCATTTCCCTCCCCTTGAATAATCTCATCTCTTAAATTCCATCTTGTCTGACAGGAAAAATATGGTCGCATCGTTTGACATCCCACACATATACATTTTTGGAAAGGATGGGGCACACGTGTATTTCACAATTGTGGCTCGCGGGCCTACGTTACGGGGTGATATCATGC